CAGAAGGCCTGGTTGCCTTGGTTCGATGGTCTCATCGAGGCCAGCGAAGAGTACTTTGAGAAGTACGGCGAGCCTCTCTTCTCCTCCCACATGCTTGACCTCTCCGAGGAGAGATTGAGTTACACAAATGACCCAATTCAGTCAGTCGAACGTCAAATCGCATCAGATTTCAAAACATTTCAAAACAAGACCACGAGGTCGAACTTCAAGCTATCAAATGTTACAATACTACTAGTTATACTATACTTCCTAACCAAATTCAACGCTTTAAAGGGCGTCAACATGTTTCTATCATTACAGTCGGTGCAGGGCATGCAGTGAAGTGAGTGCAGTCAGATCATTGCAGTGGAGTGCAGTCACTGCACTGTCACCACTGCACTGTCACAGCACTGCACTGTCACTGCATTGCACTGTCACTGCACTGTCCCTGCACTGCACTCAACATTTTTCTATCATGCCTTTGCCGCAGAACCCTGAGGAGCCTTTGGAGGAGAACATTTCCATCTGCAAGAAGTACTTGGAGCGCATGGCCAAGATCAACCTGCTCTTGGAGATGGAGCTGGGTGTGACCGGTGGTGAGGAGGATGGCGTTGACAACACCGATGTTGACTCCTCCCGCCTCTACACTCAGCCTGAGGAGTTGCCTGGAAGAGTTTGCAGTTGTTGCAGCATCGTTACAACCCTTCGAACAACTGCAACAACTATTACGTCTATAGTACTGGAGTTAATTACTATTATTACAGTACTATTACTACTATCGTTATTTGATACGAGTTACGTCCATAGTTACTTAGGCTGCATGAGTTGTTTTCTACTAGTCCCACTAACCTCCAGGATTCATCCATCCAACTGCTCTTGTAGCAGGAGCTACTATACTTCTTGCATGAATTTGGTTGCAACATCCGCTCCAATCGCCACCATCCATCCATTTCATCCATTCCATCTATCCAACTGCTGTTCTCCAGGAGGTGTGGCAGGTCTATGAGGCCTTGGCCTCCATCCCCAACGGCAACTTCACCGTGGCCGCCGCCTTCGGCAACGTGCACGGCGTCTATGCGCCGGGCAACGTGAGCTTGAAGCCGGTGATCCTGCACAACACCCAGAAGTACATCAAGGATCTTCCTTCTTTTAGATCTATCAAGACCCTTTTGGACTGCATAGGGCTTGCACCTCAACTTCCTATTGAACATTAAGAAATGGTTCCAATACGATGGAAGATCTTGAATTGTTGATGCCCACTGTTCTTGGTTACATGCCTCATCAATCAAGACCTCTATAGACCTCCTGGTGAGGAGAAGTTGGGCTGCGACAGCGACAAGCCGGTGTCCTTCGTCTTCCACGGCGGCTCCGGCTCCTCCCTGGAGGACATCCGCTACGCCATCGAGGCAGGCGTGGTGAAGATGAACATCGACACCGACACCCAGTGGGCGACCTGGAGCCATTCTAAGTTGGGGTGAGTGAGATACTGTCCGGTGGGGTCAGCTGTGTCTCCGAACTGGGCGGGCCTTCTCCGTTCGGAAGCTCCTTCATCCTTCGCCTTCATTGGTGGAAGGTCCGGTCGGACCAGGGCGACCTGGGCTGTGGTTGGTCTCGGTCTGACCGGTCCTTCATTTGGGCCCGCATGCTGGAATTTTTGGTTGGGGGTTGAAAGTGCAGAGATTTGTGGCTGGCAAGGCTGGGTATCTTGATAGATGAGACATGATGAGACAGGATGACAAAAGCAGACTTATATAAATGAAACTATAGGTTCCACATGTCACCCTTAGAGAAGATATATCGATGTGTTGCTTGCAATAAAGGGGAATGTCCAAAGAATACCAAGCACGTGGTGCGTGATCTCGTGTTGCAGACTACTCTGGGCGGCGACACCAGAGAAGCAACGAGCCACATCCCCATCCAATGCGGGGAGTCATTCTATGCCACGCCGTTCGACTGCCTAGGCCTTCTGGGACGGCATGAACGAGTACCAGAAGAAGAACAAGGCCCCCAACAGATTCGCCCAGAATGTCTTGGGGTACGCGAACGCGGATCGAATTAGAGGCACCCAGGCTGGAATCGCCTGGTACTCATGGATATCCTAATGAATGCCGCATGGGTACACTTGGACTAGCCACGGAGGCCTCTCCTAGGAGGAAGAAAGTTTGTATCACTGATGTTGGTCCAGGTCCAACAGATACACTGGACATGGGGAGGCAATGATAGGAAGGGCACCGAGACGTTGGATGGTAGGATCCAAAAAGCCACTGTTTGGACATAGCCGAAAAAGTTGATTGGAGGGAATAGCAGAGGCAGATCAGAGGCAGTTGACCAAGAAGATAACATTTAAGGCCATTGCCAGTGGACTCCAACGTTCTTATTCCCCTGTGCTAACCATGTTTTGTTTTCATGTTCTTTTCCATATGTTTTCCCCATGGAAGGCAGGTGATTCCAATTCCAGTTGTACTGCTTTGGATGAAGCATCGAAGAGCACCGTGGTGCTCTTCGATGCCGCTTTCGGCGCCATTTGGGTGGCTGAAGCCGAGTTGGAAACCTCCACTGGGTCAGACCTGAAGCACAGTACTCTACAAACAGGTGGTGCCATCCACTTCCCATGATTGCTTTAGGGAGTGTTTTTTGTTTTTTTCCCGAATGCGTAGCGAAGGGTTCCCGTTTATAGTTGGGGGTCTGGGGGTTGGAGCTGTGTTCGCGTGGCTTGCGTCGTGTCGTCGTCTGTCGTCGTCTCTCGTCGTTTGTCGTCGTCGTCGCGTCTCAAATTTGCTGCCATTGGGGGAAGCTTTTGCAAGTGACTTTGCATGGATGTGTCACGTGTCAGTTTGCGCCGCTATTCCATTGTGATTTGCGTGACACGGACATGTCGCGCAAGAAACGTGATGCACTTCGCTGCACAGGCGCAGCGTTTTGTGAGATCCGCAGATTACGGCGCAGTTCCATTGGCATTAGCGTTTGGAGAGTTGTGTTTTTGGGGTGTTGGATGTGGCCGTGCCATTGGGATTTGCGTTTCAGGGTGTGGCATCGAAGCTCTGTTTTCGTGACAAGTCTCAGCTGAAATTGCGATTTTGATGGATGGGAGTGTGCTCTGAACGGGTCGAAATCATTCCAAGCGTGTGGTGTGGTGCAAAGTTTGTTGAAGCTCACATGCGATGATATTGTCACTTTTCGTGGCAGGCGCAGGACTTCGTGCGGGCTTTGAAGCGTGGAAGTGCAATTCTCGTGGCAGGCGCAGGGAATCGTGAGGTTGCGAGGTGTGAGGGAGGTGACATTTCGTGGCGGGCGCAGTACTTTGTGCGCGTTAGACGGGTGGATGGGGAAAGATTCGTGGCAGGCGCAGGGAATCGTGAGGTTGTGAGTTGTGGTAGAGGTGAATGTCGCTGTCCCATTGGGATTGGCGTGTGAGCGGATGTTGTTTGGAGGGGCTGGAATCGCGAAACTGCTTGGCAGGGCTGCGTGATGTGTGTGCTCCGATGGGTGTTTCCGCTTGACTTTTGGAGGAAGTCTCGTACGAAACGCTTGTTTTGCAGACTTTGACGTGTGAGGTTTTGAGGAAGTCTCGTACGAAACGCTCGTTTTGGAGACTTGACGCGCAACCCTCTGCGGAGATCGTGCGTGTCGAGTGCACCAAATGCAGGCGAGAGTGCGATTTGTCCCATGCGCGCGCAACCCTCTGCGGAGATCGCGCGTGTCGAGTGCGCGAAATGCAGGCGAGAGTGCGATTTGTCCGGTGGAGCTGGGAGCTGAGAACTGGCGACCTTGTAGTACAACTGTAGTACGTGGAGTATCTGGGGAGCTGGAAGCTGAGAACTGGCGACCTTGTAGTACAACTTTAGTACGCGGAGTATCTGGGGAGCTGGAAGAGAGTCCCACAAGAGTGTCCCGCAACAGTGTCCCACTAGAGTGTCTCAAAAGAGTGTGCCTTAAGAGTGTCCTACAGGAGTATCCCACAAGAGTGTCCTACAAGAGTGTCCCACAAGAGTGTCCCACAAGAGTGTCCTACAAGACTGTCCCACAAGAGTATCCTACAAGACTGTCCCACAAGAGTATCCTACAAGAGTGTCCCACAAGGAGTTCCACAAGAGTGTCCCACAGAGTGTCCCACAAGACTGTCCCACAAGAGTGTCCTACAAGAGTGACCCACAAGAGTGTCCTACAAGAGTGTCCTATAAGAGTGTCCCACAAGAGTGTCCCACAAGAGTGTCCCACAAGAGTTTCCCACAAGAGTGTTCTACAAGA